ACATACCCCAGACTCACCTGCATTTGCTGTGGTAAGAAAACCCATACAGAGAACCAAGATGTGGTAGAGAGGCGCCATTGTCCTGGGGGACACCAAGGGTCAAGAAATGTGTTCCCTCGTTCCCCCCCACCATTAGGACTTGAACCCAGGGGGTTAAATCAGAGTCCAGGGGTTTGATTCCAAAAGTGTCCATCATCCAACTTGGCCACTGGGAGAAACAGGGGTACCCCCCGCTTCATGCGGACACAGTGTCACCAAAACAAGTCACAGTGGGGGTTGTACGACACACAGCAAGGGCAGGGGTGAGACACACAGTCTACAGGGGTCTCCCACAGGCCCGGGCCTCCCCAGAGCAGGCCCCAGATGCCCCACACCTACCCCATGGGAAGAGCAGGATGGCTTGCCCCACCCAAGTGGAGAGACAGACACACGCGGTGAGGGATGAGGGACAATGCAGGCAGGACCCGCCCAAGGGTCCACCTGCCGGCACACCAGGGCCTCCCTGTGTCCGCGTAATATCCCAGCTCTCCGGCCCTCGGCCGCGAGCCCGCTCTCTGCCTGACCCTGGGTATAAATATCTCCCACTTCACCCTGGAGGAATTTGCCTCACACAGGCCACCATGGCAACAGCCTTCCTTCCCCCACTCGGGGGTCACGCACAACCCTGCCGGGGTGAGGCCCGGCTGCCACATGGCTCCAGGCTGCTCCTGTGGGAAAGGCCACCCCTTTTCTTCTTCTGGAAATGATGAGAACAGGGGGGAAAACATCCCCTCTGCTTGCCTCTGGGTGATATCTTTCATGGGCGGACACGGCCAGGCAAGTGGCATGAGGCCCAGAGCAGTGGGGCCGAGAGACAGAAGACAGATGCCAGGGGCAGGGACACACACCCATACACACACACACACACACACACACACACACACACACACACTCAAGCACAGGCAGTGGGGCTGCAGTGGAGACAACACCCATTCCCCCAAACTCCTGGTTGGAGCAAGCCATGGGGTGGAGACAGTCACTAAAACGATACTCTTCATCTGAGCCTTCAGTGCCCCCAAATCGTGACGCAACCCGACCTACGCACGTGAGTGTCTGAAACCCCCCCCCCCAGCCAGGGTGCACACACTCAGCGGCAGGGGAGGGAGACGTTGCACCCACACGCCCACTCCTGGGGAACCCCACCGTCCTACCCACACTCCCTTCCTCTTGGGTCCGGCCTGCCTGGGAAGCCATGGGCTGGCCACTCCTGCTCCCAAAATAGGTGGCCCAGCCAGGCGAGGGGTGAGGCCTGGAGGGGAGGGCAGGGGACGCTCACCCCAATCAGGCTGTCCCCTGCTGAAAGGCCCCCAAACGTCCGGCCGTGCCGGGGGTGAGCACTTTGGACCCCCTGGCCCAGAGCTGGACTGCGCCCGCCCTCAGCGGTCTCCCCTCCCAGCCCCACCCCACCCCTACCCTCCCCAACCAGCAGCTGTAACTGGAGCCGGGGCTGGAGGGGGGCCAGGGGGCGGCCCCCAGCCCAGACCGCCCTGGCCCGCTAGGTTAACTCTCTCAGCTCAGATGGAGGAGCCGCAGGAGATGTGTTGGGATCGCTGGAGAAGGGCCGCGTTGGCAGGGAGGACGGGACCACAGACACACACACATGCTCGCACGCACGTACCCACGCAAGCACGTACCCACGCTCGGGCCTCGGGCCCACCTCCGAGAGCTTCTGCCCTGCGGTGGGAAGGTGGGTGTCAGTGGTTTTCTGTGAGATCCCTGGGGATGGGGCCCAGTCGGGGCCTAAGGTCACCCCGTCTGAGTGCTTAGGAGCCCACTGACCCCTGACCCCAGGGTTCTGCAGGGACCTGGGCAGAACCACAGGGCTATTGTGGGGTCATTTCAGCGTGTGTGTATGTTGTCTGCTGCTGACTGTGACGGCCCCCAGGAGGGCACACCACACACACACACACACACGCACGCACACACACACATATTCAGATGGATGGTACAGAGACCGTACAGAGACACAAAGACCTCGCCACACACGTGTCCACCCTTACAAATGGTCACACTCTTGTGAAGACATACAAACGGCTGTACAGAAACACACTGATGGGCGCCTGGGTGGCTCAGTTGGTTAAGCAGCTGCCTTCGGCTCAGGTCATGATCCCAGGGTCCTGGGATCGAGCCCCGCATCAGGCTCCCTGCTCCGCGGGAAGCCTGCTTCTCCATCTCCCACTCCCCCTGCTTGTGTTCCCTCTCTCGCTATGTGTCTCTCTCTCTGTCAAATAAATAAATAAAATAAAATAAAAAAGAAACACACTGATACACACACCACACATAAATACACTCAACAGCCCAGACGCACAGCTAGCTCTCCTCCAGTTTCAGGGATGGGAAGGCCCACACGCTGTGTACATATGTACGCAGGTGCCTACCCACACTTCTGTGGGCACAAAGGGAAGCAGAAATTCTGTCAAGGACACCGCCACACGGCCCGCCACTCTTACACATAACCACAAAAACAGACACACACAAACTGTGTTCATACCCTCATGCACAGGCCAACAGGGCCCTGTCACAGGCAGACAGGCCTACACACTTGTGTTGACACACTTGGGACACGCCACCAAATGTGTGTTGACACTTTTAACCCCAAACCTCCCCTTTCCTGATCTCACGGGGCCTGTGGGGCTCTGTGCTGTTGCGTAACACACACGCTGTCCTCGCACGCGGGCCAGACTCACAGGCTCTGGTGACAGAGAAAGCTGGTTCCGGGTCTGAGCTCTGCCACTCCTGGTTGTGTGACCTTGAGCGGCCCGTGTGAGCTCTCTCTGCCTCAGTTCTCTGTCCCATAAAATGGAGAAATCACCGAGATCGTACGTATGACGCTGGGCCAGGCTCAGAGGTCTCTGAACCCAACACAGGCTTCTTATTAACTCCATTTCCGAGATGAGCAAACCGAGGCTTAGGAAGGTGGAGCTGATTCTCCTGAGGTCCCTGGTGGTTAAGGACAGAAACTGCCCCTACCCTGAAAGGGTCAGACATGGGCTCAGACTCTGGAGGACACGGGTGGGGAGCACGTGGGCATGCGCATACTCAGGCACAGGCATCAGAGCCTGGACACACACACACAGGGGGCCCACCTCAGAGGACCCAGGGGGCTTTGAAATGCACCCTCATCCCTGTACGTCTGAGCCTCTGCCCCTCATGGCCCTGTACCCCAGGGTCACCGGCAGTCTCTGGTTAATGATAACCCTGATGTTTATGCAGCCCTGGGGAGGGCTGACAGAGAAGCAGGGAAGGCAAGCAGGGCTGGGGGCACCTGGCCAGCTCCAGCCCGTCCTTGGCTTCTCCCCCTCACAAGGCCCACGGTTCCAGAGTGGAGCCACTCAGCCACTTTCTAGCGGGGTGAAGCTGGGCACATGATGTAACCACTCTGAGGCTCAGTTTCTCCTTCTGTAAAATGGGGATAAACTCGTAGTCACCTCAGAAGGAAGCTGGTGCTGTTAAGTGTTCTGAGTATGTGCAGCCGTGGCCATGAGGTGAATCATTTAACCTCCTCATGCCTCAATTTTCCCATCTGCAAAGTGGGGGCCAGTAGTATGACCCACCTCACGGGGCCGTCGTGAGAACGGAATAAATTCATGTTAAGTCAGGCATACGGGAAGTGCTCAATGATTATTATTACTGCTGTTTCAGGTTGGGTAACAAGTGTCATTTATTTATTTTTCTTATTTAATGGGCGGAATCTATCGAAATTGCTAAAAGCTTAGTCCGAATGAAAACGACCAGTATCCATGAGTTCAGATCTCCCAAGAAAGAACACAAAAATCACGCAGAGAGGCCCCTGGAGCCGGCTGCCTGGGCTTGAGCGCTGGCCCTGCCCCAGCTGGTAACCCAAATCTCAAATTAACTTGACCTCTCTCCTCAATGTTTCCATCTGTAAAATAGCCATATAATAAGATCAACCTCAGAGGGTTGTGATGAGGTTGGTATGAGCCAATAGACAAAGTTTTAGGACAGGGCCTAGTGCAGAGCCAACGCTGAGGAAGGGGGCAGTGGCATCTTCACCTCATTTTTCCCCTGAGTTGGCTCCTTGTCCCAGTGGGTGGTGGGCACTCAAGGGGTTAATGTCAGGCTGGCGAGGGAGGCTGTGGGTTTGGGGCCGGGCAGCTGCCCTGCCGAGCTTGGCCACCAGAGGGAGCAGCTGGACTCCTCTAAGCCTTGGTGACCCGGCACATCACACCCTCCTGGGAGCCCGGGGAGGGGGCTGGCTGGGCGTGGCCAGGATGGCTCCAGCCCCCCAGTGGTCTCTCCTCCCAGCCCCTCCGCCTGCCGAACCATCCGGTCCCCACCCTGGTGACATCCTCCTCACACTCCGAGTGGGGTGGAGTGGAGAATCTGGGGAGGGGGCTGGCTGAGAGGGGTCAGGGCAGCTCCGGCCCTTTGTGGCCCCTCCCCTCCCATGGGGCCATCCAGTCCCTTCGTTAGGGCTGCTCTTCTAAGGCCTCTGACCCCCTCCTCCTTCTTAGGCTGCATTGCCGGGCGCACCCAGTGCCCAGTGAGTCCCTTTCCCAAACCTCCAAGGAGAAGGGGCGTGGGAGGAGGGGAAGAACAGGGAACTGGAAAGGGTGGTGAGAAATAAAGACACCAGACAGCGGGACGCGCGGGCACGCGCGCGCACACACACACACGCGCGCGCGCGCGCGCGCGCGCCAACAGAGATTGAGGACAGAAACAGAGACAGAGAGAAACAGAGACAGAGAGACAGACGGAAATAAAGACAGTGGGAAGCTAACTCACTGAGTCAGAAACACAAAAAGAGAGAGAGACAAGAAAAGGAAAGAGAAATAGAAAATTGGACAAGAGAGGGAGGCTGAAAGAGAGACAGAGAAAGGAGAGACAAGCCGGCACAGAGTGTGCCAGCTGGCGCGATGGAGGGTCGCCTGGTGCAGCAGATGTAGCGGCCCCAGCCCGCTGAGCTGGGTGGGCAGAGAGAAGCCGCAGGGGTGAGGGGCATGGGAGGGGCGGGCGTGCTTCTACTGCTGCTGGCTGGAGCCGGCGTGGGGGTGGCCTGGAGACCACCAAAGGGAAAGTGTCCTCTGAGCTGCTCCTGCTCCAAGGATAGTGCCCTGTGTGAGGGCTCTCCGGACCTGCCCGAGAGCTTCTCCCCGACCCTGCTGTCACTGTGAGTGTCAGGCCCTCCTGAGGGTGAGGATGGGTGTCCTGGGGCCCTGGGGGCTGGGGGCTGGGGGCAGGGTGCCGGGGCCCCCGAGGAAGCAGGGACCCTTTAGGATCTTGGGAGGTGGGCAGCGAAGGATGTTGGGATGCCTCAAAGGGAGCTGCTGGGATTTGGACAGGAGCTGAAGGGAGACTCCAAAGCCCAGGGCAGCATTTGGGGCCCCGGGGGGGGGGGGGGGGGGGCCGGGGGGGGGGGGGGGGGGGGGAAGCTGAATGTTGCCAGGATCCTTGCCAAGTGGCTGTTTCCCTAGGATGGAAAGGAAAGACATCCGGGGTTGGGGCAGCATGCCAGGGTCCCCCAGGCAGGAGACGGCTCTGGGGCGGGACCGGAGTGTTGGGGTGATTTCCTCCTCACCCACCATTGCCCACGTCCCCAGCTCACTCGTTAGGACTGGAGTCACCCAGCTGAAGGCCGGCAGCTTCCTGAGGGTGCCCACACTGCACCTGCTGTGAGTGGGGCCCAGCTGAGCCGACAGCTAGCTCGAGGGAGTGGGGGGGGGTGTTCGCACCGGTGCGTGGGGGGTGCGTGCTGACATGTGTGTTTGCGCATGTCTGCGAAAGCATCGCGTGTACCTGTGTGAGACCATGCGCATGAGGGTTGGGGGGACAACGTTAACATGTCAAAGAGGGGGCAGCAATTCTGGAAAAATGGCTTTCTTGCTCCCTTGTCAGCCTCTTCACATCCAACTCCTTCTCTGTGATTGAGGACGATGCATTTGCGGGCCTGTCCCACCTGCAGTACCTGTGAGTGAGGCCAGGGGATGGCGGCTGGGATGGGGGCTCGGGAGAGGAAGCAGGGACCCACCTGTGGCTCCGACAGTAGAGGGGGGTAGGGGCTTGTTGGCACGTTGAGGGGTGGGGGGGTGTCTGGATGAAGGTCCCTCCTGGAGGGGCAAGAGGCCTGGTGTCTCGGGTGGGGTCAGGGCTCCTGCTCAGCTGTGTGATCTCAGCCTGCTCACCTCCCCTCTCTGTGCCTCAAGATCCACAAAGGACCTGGACCACCCAAGACTATTTCTGGCCTTCCCTGACTTAGGGGAGCCCAGGGAGAGGCCAAAGAGGCTAGAGACAAGAAAATGTTTCGTATGAACAGGAGACAACTCTGAGGGGGTGACGGGGGTGATCGGGGTGGTTGTGTCGGCGTTGGTGACCATGGTGTTGATGGGGACCCTGTCGCTGCGGCTCCCCGGGAAGCAGTGGCGGTACTGAGGATGATGACGCGGGGGTGACGTGGGTCAAAATGGCAGCCCCAATGGCGCCGGTGCTGGGAGCGATAGCGATGACGAGGTCTGAGGGGCTGGTGTTGGTGCCGTCGCTGTTGTGCGCGTTGTTAACCCCAGCGTTGGCGTTGCTGGGAGGGCACGGCGGCTGGTACTGGGTTTGGTGGTGGTGCTGGAGGTGTAGGTGTGAACGGGAGTTGTGGCAGCAGCCGTGCCGGTGGTGGGTGAAGAAGGGAGTGCGGGGCGTCCTGGCGATGTTGGTATTGCCAATGCTGGTCCGCGTGCTTTTGGTGACGGTGGGGGCGTCGGTGACGATGGTGGCAGTCCTGTCGGGATTGTCATGGAGGCTGTGTTGTTGGTGATGCTTCCCAGGAGTGCTGGGTGAGGCTTGGTGACAATGCGTTGGTGTGGGTGACGGGAGTGGGTGGCGGTGCCGGGGTCAGTGGTGGTGGTGGCACAGCTTGGCTTTGACCATAGTCTCAGCCATGCTGTTGGCACCGGGGTGAGGGATGGTGATGGAGGCGCGGGGGTGGGTCATGATGGATGATGGCGGAGGTGTGGGTGGTGACGTCGAAGCTAGTGCTGGGGTCGGTGAGCCGGCAGAGTTCACTGTGAGGCTGGCAGTGGTTAGGTTCCTGCCTCCTGGGATGATCGGCCCGGAACCTTGGGGAGGACAGGTTTCTGGGGAGGCTTCAGCACATTCCAGTGGCCTATGGCTTAAATGGGGTGAGTTTCCCCAAGCGCGCCGGCGGGCGGGGGGGGGCACAGCAGGGAACCGAGGGCCTCCCCCTCACCCCCCTTCCCTCCACAGCTTCATTGAGGACAATGAGATTGGCTCCATCTCTAAGAACGCTCTCAGAGGACTCCGCTCCCTCACACATCTGTGCGTGCCTCCCCCAAGGGCTCACCCCTCCCTTCCGCCTCACCAGCCCGCCCTGACAGCCGCCCACCCCCAAACCCCATCACCCAGGGACACAGGGGATCCGGGTCGCTGGTGATGGCTCCTCCTCCCTTCTCTCCTTCCACCAGGAGCCTGGCCAATAATAATCTCGAGACCCTCCCCAGATTCCTGTTCCGAGGCCTGGAGACCCTAACTCATGTGTGAGGCTCAAGGGGGCTGGGTGGGTCAGGGGAGCTGGGGGCTGTTTGAGGGGGAAGGGGAGTGCTCTGCCCACTTCTGGTGACACAGAGAAGTATGGTGGCAGTGGTTCCTCCGTAGGCCCCATCCCGAACCCTTGCCTGGGGAGGGGGCGGGGAACGTGGCCTCCAGGGGGGTGGAAGCCAGGTCGCAGCCCCTCCCCGGCCTCTTGCCCCAGGGACCTCCGCGGGAACCCGTTCCAGTGTGACTGCCGCGTCCTCTGGCTCCTGCAGTGGATGCCCGCCGTGAATGCCAGCGTGGGGACTGGGGCCTGCGCCGGCCCCACTGCTCTGGCCCACAGGCAGCTCCGCCACCTCGACCCCAAGACGTTCAAGTGCAGAGCCATAGGTGGGGGCTTTCCCGGCAGGGTGGGAGGGGCCGCAGGGGTCCCAGAAGAAGGTGGGAGAGCAGGGGAATGGCTCCCAGGGCTGAAGGGCTCACCTCGCTCCCTGCTCTGCTGTTTCCCAGCTTGTGAGCCCCTGAGCATGAGCATCAGCTCCCTGAGCCTCAGTTTCCTCATCTGTAAAATGGAGGTAATAAACCGTGCCGTAGGATTGCAGCGAGAATTCAGTGATGCATCCACGCCCGCATGTGGTGCCGAGCCTTGGATGGGAGGCCTTCATAAATGTGCATTCTGGTGGTTGTTATTAATATAAAAATGACCATTTAAAAATACTTGCTATGATCACGTTGCTTTTCCATAAATACATTTTGGTGCCTTTATGGGCCCTGGGCAGGGCAAGAGGCCCAGCAGTGATGAGGATGGCCCTGGCTCTTGCCCCTCCCACAGCCCAAGGCACGGGGAAAGGTGGAGGGTGAGAGCCCGGAGTGGTCAGGACTGGGGTGGGGGAAGCCTACTGAGCTGTGGGCGCCCCGAGCCAGAGCGAGGGCCAGGCACAGCGGGAGGGCCAGGGAGGGCTTCCTGAAGGAGTGGGTAAGGCTATTAATGTAATAATCGATTCTTGCCAGCATCTAAGTGTAAGTCGTGTTTTGGGTTTGTGGCACTCATAGAACCAGAGAATTTAACGTGAGGGTCACTCTTTACTCAGCTGTCCCACAGTCACTGAGGGCCACTCTGTGTCCGGCCCTGTGAGAGGCAGTCGGCACACTGTGGCAACCCAGACAGCAATGGGCCCTGCCCTCAGAGCTCTGGCGGGTGAGGACGTAGACATTGAATAGAACGTTGCAGAAACAAAAGTATGCTACACGTTGTGATAAACACAGGGAGCCATGAGGGAGATTACGGTGGCAGGGTGGCCCTACCTTCCATGGGGCGTTGGAGAAGGCTTCTCTGAAGAGGTGGCTTTACATCCGGATGTAGCTCAGTGAAGTACAGAGGGAAGAGCCCTCTGGAGAGAGGGGACAGCGTGTGCAGGGTCCTGAGGCAGCAGAGAGTCTGTGCTGCTTGCAGGTCAAAGGCAGGCAGTGTCTCGGGGGTGTGAGTGAAGGGAAAGACACAGGTGAGGTCCAAGTCAGCAGGGGCCTCACTGTGTAGGACTTTGAAAGCCACAGAGAATAGAGTGGATTTTTCCCTGAGGGCCGTGGGAAGCCACGGAGGGTTTCGAGCAGAGCCCTCCCAGAGCCCAAGGCACGGGGAAAGGCGGAGGGCGATGATATGATGGCCATTTCTCAAAGATCCAGCTTTGGGTGGGCATCCTTGGTGGCTCGGTTCGTTGCTTCAACTCCGGGGCCTGGAAACAGGGCCTGGCACATAGAGTAAAGTATTATAACCTGGAGTCTACACCCGGCTCCTCCACCCAAGCTGGGCAACCTTGGTGCATCATTTCCATAAAAGCTAAGAGGCCATAACCAAGAGGCTCAGAATCCCGTGACTCAAAGAAGACAGAAGGGTCTGAGGCGAGCAGTCCAGGCGGGGGGAGGGGGGCAGCCCCTGGGTGTTGTCCTGGTTTTCATGGTTGAAACGGAGTCGTGGCACGTCCACCTGCCAGGCCATGGGGAGAAGGGGAAAGAGACCAGGTCCAGGATGAGCCATTGTCAAACAAACGAGGCGAGCATTACCCTCAGCACTTTGCTCTTTCTCCACGGCGAACTTGGCCTGGACAAGGCCGTACCTAAGTTCAGGAGGGAGGTGCTGGGGCAGCGCTGGGATCACATGGTGGGCAGCTCTGTGCCCCAATCCTCGTTCGTGGAAGATGGGAAGGCTGGGATAGCTTTTTCATCTGTAGAATGGATAGAATGAAACGTCCCTCACAGGGATCTTGTGATGTCAAACGAATTAAGAAATACGTTGCATCTAGCAATGATTTGATGATGTCAGGCGGCTCAGAAAATAAAGCATTCCCCTGTTGTTGTGACTTAATTCATCTATCGATGAAAAGATTCCACTCCGTGTCCCTGTGAGGTGCACACCACGATGGTCCTCATTTCAGAGATGTGCAAACCGAGGCTCAGTGATGAGGGCCCGCGGGGTTCCCTCGTGCCTGCCTGACTCTCTCCTGCCGCCCCCCAGAGCTGTCCTGGTTCCAGATGGTTGGGGAGTCGGCGCTGGGCGTGGAGTCTTTCTCCTACCAGGGGGAGCCCCATGTCGTCCTGGCACAGCCTTTTGCGGGCCGCTGCCTGATCCTCACCTGGGACTACAGCCTGCAGCGCTTCCGGCCTGAGGAAGAGCTGTCCGGTGAGCCCTCCCCCCCCGCCCCGACTTTCCATCCCCCTGCCTGCCCAAGAGCCTGCCTGGTGGACCTGACCTGCCCCGCGGCCTAACCTGCCCTCCGGCTCCCCGACCCCCCCCCCCCCCCCGCGCCCTCGGTGGTGTCCTGCAAGCCGCTGGTGCTGGGCCCGCGCCTCTTCATGCTGGCCGCCCGCCTGTGGGGGGGCTCGCAGCTGTGGGCCCGGCCCAGCCCCGGCCTGCGCCTGGCCCCCACGCAGGCCCTGGCCCCACGGCGGCTGCTGCGGCCCAACGATGCCGAGCTCCTGTGGCTGGACGGGCGGCCCTGCTTCGTGGTGGCCGACGCCTCCAAGGCAGGCAGCACCACGCTGCTGTGCCAGGACGGGCCCGGCTTCTACCCCCGCCAGAGCCTGCACGCCTGGCACCGGGACACGGACGCCGAGGCTCTGGAGCTGGACGGCCGGCCCCATCTGCTGCTGGCCTCCGCCTCCCAGCGGCCCGTGCTCTTCCACTGGCTCGGGGGCCGCTTCGAGAGGCGCACGGACATCCCCGAGGCCGAGGACGTCTATGCCACACGCCATTTCCAGGCTGGTGGGGATGTGTTCCTGTGCCTGACGCGTTACATCGGGGACTCCATGGTGAGGCCCGGCCCAGTCAGGTGGGGCAGGCGGTGGAGGCCACAAGCCAGACTGACCTGCCGCAGACTTCCCCCTCGTGTGGGCTGGTCTTTCAGCGCTGACCCCACCTTTGCACACGGGCCTCTACACTCTGACCTGACCTCACAGGCTGACCTTCGAGCTCTGACCCCACCTAATGTACTGATCTTTGAACTCTGGCCACCCCTCCACTGACCCCAAGACCACTGTGACTCCTCCAGGCTGGTTGACCATAAGCCACTTCCTATCCCCTCAACACTGACACTGGGCCCCACCCTCCAGCTCTGTAACTCTGACACACTCTGAGACTTACATTTGGCCACAGCCACCACACTCTGGACCCCAAGGCTGACGGCCCACCCCCACCAGCATTCTTATTCTGGGGTGAGGAACAGCCAAGCGGAGTGCTCTGAGCCTAGAAGGCAGTGGTCTGACTCAGGTGTTCACGGGTCATGTGTGTGGGGAGCAGACTGTGGGTGCAGGGATGGGAGTGGGGAGCCCAGGGCAGAGCCTACCGTCCCGGAGGGAGGTGACTGTGGCTGGGCAGAGTGCGGCCAGAGGAGATGGGACAAACAGATACCACTGTAGGTAAAACTGACTGATTCCATGTGGAGTGTGAGGGAGAGAGAAGAGCCAAGAATGACTTCAAGTCTGGGGCCTGGGCAGCAGGATGGTGACAGGTATGAAGGCAGGAAAGCTGCAGGCATTTGGGGACCTACAGGCCTGTCTCCAAGCTGTTCCAGGTGCTCTGAAGCCCAGAGGACTACCGGCAGGCCTGGCCCTCCTGGACCCCAGGCCCTAACTAGTCGCCACACTTCACAGGTCATGCGCTGGGATGGCTCCATGTTCCGCCCGCTGCAGCAGCTTCCCTCACGTGGTGCCCACGTCTTTCAGCCACTGCTCATCGCCAGGGACCAGCTGGCCATCCTGGGCAGTGACTTCGCCTTCAGCCAGGTCTTCCGCCTTGAGCCTGACAAGGGGCTCCTGGAGCCTCTGCAGGAGCTGGGACCCCCAGCCCTGGTGGCCCCTCGTGCCTTTGCCCCCATCACCTTGGCCGGCAGACGCTTCCTCTTCGCTGCTTGCTTCAAGGGCCCCACACAGATCTACCAGCATCACGAGTTAGACCTCAGTGCCTGAGACCCCACGGGACCTTGGCTATGGCTTGGAGGGGAGGGGGCAGTGGCCCAGGGAGGCCCAGGCCGCTGGACACCCACTTGGGCTCCTGGCCCTACTCTGGCTGATGGTCCCTGTGAGGTACTGACCACAGGCCAAGCTCAAGGCAAGAGCTGTCCTTCAAGTCATAAGCAACATCTCGGCTAGGGGCACATGCCCCGACTAAGGATGACTTGGGGGCTCGGGCTGGGGCACTTGCAAGGAGCCGGGATACAGAAGTCATGATGGGGGTAATGTGCAGAACTCCGTGAGGTCTGGAAGTGCCCCCCTCAACCCACTCCCACCCCTCCTGCTCCCTGTGAAAGTCCTGAGGAAGAGATAGCTCCCCCTTCCCTCTAAACTCCATCGGCCAATCGCTTTTGGCGCCCGCCTCCGTGACGTCATCAGTCGCTGGGCCGGCCTCCCTGCCGGGCTTGCTAACTTCCTCTGCTGCTTGTGCGCATGCCTGCAGCCCAGGCGGAAGCCCAGTGTGGTGGCCCTCTTGCGCGTGCGCGGGAAACAGGTGGGCGAGCAGGAGCTGTTGCGGGGAGCCCCGGCTACGCGTCTCCAGTGAGGGACAGGGGAGAGGACGGAAAGTGTATGAGCTCAATAAACGCGCTGTGCACCTGTCCCGCTCGATGTTGAGGGTGTTTCATGAGTGACATGGGGGGAGGAGTGGTGTCCCAGGAGCAGTATTACGGGGAGGTGCATTTTGGCTGCCCTGGTGCGCTTTCGCTTGCCCCATGAGTGTGGGCTCGTGGATTGGCGGCGGGTGGGGGGGGGGGGCGGCTCATGGGATGTTCGAGGGATATAAAGGCATTATTAGGGGACAAGTCGCTGGTTTATTATGGGTCTCTTCTTGGGGTCATGTCTCAGGGCATTGTAGGAGATAGTTTTGGGTGTTTTAATTAAAGGGTTTTAGGCATTTTACGGGGTGGCCCTTGGGGGCATTTTGGAGATCTTACAGGGTACTGGGGAGTCTCAATGGAGTTTGAGGCTCCTTGGAGGTTCTCACACCATGTGGCCATTCTATATAATTAGGAGTGTCGTGTGGAATTATTTGAAGGTCTCACAAGGACAGTTGGGTATTAGGAAGGGTTTTCTATAATAAAGTGGGGTCTCGGGGTAAGTGGGAGAGTCATGGGGTCTGACTACTAAAATCATAATCTATCTGACTACTCATATCATGGTAGGAAGATCCACGTCCTTGCTTCCCTGGGATGGTCTCAGTGTCCCCTCGAATGTCCCGGCATTCCATCTGGTTAGAGCTCTCTTTCACTCCCCAAAGTGTCCGCCATTTGGCTACTAGAAAATTTTAAAAATTGCACTTGTGGTTCCCCTAGCCTTGGAGGCAGAGGGCGGACCTCAGGCCACCCAGCAGGCCTTGGGCTTTTCCCAACAGAGATTCAGCTGCCGGCTTCTGTGTCAGCTGCCAGTGTGTATCCACCTTCTCCTAGTCCTCAAAAGCCCACCCTGATGTACACATAGGGAGTCTTGAGGCAATCAGTTTTTAGAAGAAGAATAAGGAGGCAAGATCCATGTTTAGAAAAAAAAAAAAAATTGAACAAAAAGACCCCTCCGGTGAGAGGTAAAGTGAGGCCCTGGCAAGGTGCTCTGAGGGGAGGAGGGAGAATTCCATCCTGGAATCCGGACTCCTGTGCAGAGCTCCTTGGAGGAAGAGAAGGGACCTCTGTGTCCTTTCGGCTAATCCGTCCTCAACAGTTCTGGGCAGAGCCTGGGAGAGATGATGGGTCAGCTTGTGGGAGCGGATGAAGTTTTCTCCCCCAGGCGCGTGCACACACAGGCATGCACACTTGCACGCGCCCACCCCTCACACCCCGTGTTCCCTGCAGCCCCATTCTGTTCCTGGCTTACCTGTGGTGATGAGAGGTGGGGCGTCCCCTGGATGGTGGCTAGGGAGGGAAAAGTGGTGAGATGTGTGCCCATCCCCCTTGTCCTCTCCCTCAAGGCTAGAAGATTCTCAGCTTGCCCTGACAGAGCTTCCTGGCTATTTTTCCTGGAATGGGACCAAAGCTTTTCAGGATTTGGGACCCCCTGAAGATTATCAGCTCTGAAGAATAAACCTGGGAAATCTCAGTGGCAGGAATTCTCCGCGGCAGAACCGGGAGGCCTCTTTCTGCGAGATTTAGCTCTTTCACCAGTGAAAGGTGTCTGTTCGGTAGGAGGCAGGCACACAGGGAACCCATCTTACCTGGGTTTCTGGCTGAACTTGCATTTGCATTTCCCACCTGTCAGGGGAGAGGGGATGGTTGGGGGAGGGGACCCACAGCCCTGCCCTACCAGCTCAGCCACCAGTGTCCCCACTCACTCATGAGGACGATGATGCCGATGGTGCACAGAACCGCGGCGCAGACGAGCCCGCCGATCCGGAGTCTGCGCCAGTCTAGGAGAAACCCAGATGAGGCCATCAGTGCCTGCCTGTGTCCTCCCCGTCCAAACCTCCATCTATTCGACAGGTAGGTATCGGGCACCTTATGATGGGCAGGGAGCTGGGGAGAACAGACAGCCCCCCAGCCCTCCTGTGCTTTCTCCTTTACACACAAACAAGCGATAAGAGGTTTGGTGGAAGGTCAGGTGGAGATAAGCATTCTGAAGACAAATAAGCAGAGCCAGGGAACAAAAAGTCAGAGGGCAGCTCTTTTAGGGAGACTGGTCAGGGAAGGCCTCTCTGAGCAGAGCCCCGAGTGGGTGCAGGGGGGCCGTGGCAGGGGGATCGGAAGGTACAAAGGTCCGGGGGTTTGGAGCGTGTTTGCTGTGTCTGAGCGCCAGCAGGAAGGCCACCCAATAGCTCCGTTCCTCCGGGCAGTTTTTGCAAAGCGAGCCTCCTCCCAGCAGTTGATTTGAACCATAACAACGGCTTCTTGGGAACTGTCCCAGCTTCCTGTGTGCACCTATCCTGCCGGAAGAGAACCTGCCCAGGGGCCAGACCGGCGTGGCTCGTTCCTTTATTCCGCTGTGATGACTGTTCAGTGTCTCCCCATCCTTGCCCCTTCCTATCCTCGCCCCTGTTTCGCCCACATCGGACCCCCACCCAAGCCGTGTGGGAATGGCAGCAGGGGGTGCGGGTGGGGCGCGGCCAAAGAGGGACACAAGCTCTCACCATAGTAGAAAGGACTGTTTTTATCTGCAAAGAAAGGAAAAAAGCATGTGAATCCAGGACAACAGCCAGGAGGCAAGGGTGCGGGGGAGACTTTGGGGGTGCGCGTGATGGAGGAGTCGGACTCACCTTCTGGGTCGTTGGCGTCCAAGGCAGGCAGGCCTGCTGGGAGAAGCAGGAAGAGGGAGATGGCGTGCTGGCCTCAGCAAAGCCGGCCGGCAGGGCCACAGAGCCTCGGGGGCCCCCGATGGACTGGTCCCCGCCTCCTGAGGGCACCGGGCTCCAGCCCCAAACCTGGAGGTGTGGCCATCCCCCGCTGCCCCACACCTGCGAGCCCCACGGGCCCGCCCACATTTTGCCTCCCGAAATAGGTTTTAATCTGGGTGGCTCGGGACGACTCTTCGGCCTGATGTTTCCAGACACCTGGCTAATCCTCCCTCCTGCAGAAACCGAACAACATTCTTGGCAAGATGACAGATGGTACCAGTTCTCAGTCATTCTCAGAGCCTCGTCCACACCCCACCGGTTCTGGTATTTGCTCACCGCTTCCTTTCAGAGCAAATTACTAGCTATAAACTTAATACACGTTCTTTAAAAATGCAGCTCTGTCTCACTACCCTGAATGGAATGCCAGCCTTGCCTGATGTAAGGCATAAAAACAAAACAAAACAAAACAAAACCATACAATAAAAGCAAAGGATTAGGATTACATTCTGGCCAGAAGCAGTGGGCTACCTGAGGTCTGGGCCTAAGCTCTGTTCTTTGTTTGTTAAAGGGCGATTAATAAGTTTTAATTATATTTAAAGCACAAGCAAATAGTGCTTACTCTGTACCTGGCCCTTTTCTAACCACTTTTCAAATACTAACTTGTGCAATCCTCGCAGGGACTACTAAGTACTTACTAGTACTGTCCGTATTTTTACAGCTGGGGAAACTGAGGTACAAAGGATTTGCATAACTGCTGCCTCCGCGAAGCTCCCAGTTACCTCTCGTAATAAAGTGCTAGGGAGGTGATGAAGACACAGCCCTGGGCCTGAGCCCTCTCATCAAGGACACCTCAAGGGGGTGACTAGCTGTGTGAGACGCTGCTGTAAGGGGTCCTGTCTTTGTGTGTGCACCTTGAAACCAGAAGGGCGACACTTGTGACCCTCAAGGAGATGCCGTCCAGGTAGTCACCGCCGCACAGGGGAGGCGGAAAGCACGAGAGAGAGAGAGAGAGAGAGAGAGACATGTGCGGCTTGGCCACCACTCAGTGGAGGGGTCTGGGGAAAAGGCAGCACGGGACACAGGCACTCACCTGCCAGGAGGAAGAACAGGCTCAGTGTCACCTCTTGCATGTCAGCCAGCTGGCCTGAAAGGTAGGGGTGGGTGGGGAGGGTCCAGCTTTAGCGGGCCTGGCGGTGCCAGACGGGTGCCTCTGGGTTCCCATCCTCTCCCACTCTGCTCCTGCCCAGGATACACAGCTCGCCCCAGGGCAGAGAGAGGCCTGGCTGGGAGATGAGAAGGAGCTGCCAAGTGTGTGTGTGTGGGGGTGACAACGCAGACTTGGAGAGGAGTCACAGGAATCACTCACTCGACACAGACTTGGGGCTTTACGTGAATGGCCCTGGCGACCAAATGAGGGAGGTGCTGCCTGCTGTTAGCCCCATCTTACAGATGGGGAAACTGAGGCTCTGAAAGCTGAAAATGGGTGCAAAAGGTCACCACGTCAGAGAGTAGGATTTAAAGCAGCCTGGCTCTGCAGTGGCTCTTTGTCGCTCAGGACTCTCAGGGCCTCGGGGTGTTTTGGGAAAGGGGATGGAGGGAGCCAGGTGGCAGGAGGCCCGGGTTCTCGGGTGTGTCTCTTGGAGACAGCTCAGAGCCTGCCCGCCCTGCCCAGACTCTGCAGACCTCAGACTGGCTCCTCAGGCTGCTCAGAGCAGGGTGTGGGGAGGAGAGAACTAGAGGCTGGGGCAGGGCTCGGGGGCCAGAGCAGGGAGGAGTCACTGGGCTGCAGCCCTAGCCCCAACTTCTGACCCCCGCAACCCCTCGTTTCTGCCCTGCCCCTGCCCCAGCCCCTGCCCCTACCCCTGCCCCAACCCCCTACCCCTACCCCTGCCCCTGCCTCTACCCCAGCCCCTACCTCTGCCCCGTCCCTACCCCAGCCCCCTACCCCTACCCCTGGCCTAGCCCTTGCCCCCGCATCTGCCCCTGCTCCTGCCAAGCTCCTCCTGGAAGCCATTATTTCCTCTTTCCCCAGATAGGCCTCTCCAGCAAGAAGAACCCCTCCATCTCCTTCCTGGTCGGGTATCAGCCCACCCTCCCCCCATCCCGAGTGCCTGAGATAAGCCCCTGTCTCTGTGTGTCCCCGGCCCTCCCCCAGCCCCTGCCCCACTGCCACCAGCACACACTGTCAAGATGTTGACAGCAAGAGCTGGCCTGTCCTCCGCCCGACCCTGTGCTGGGCACTGGCCAATGCCCTTGCTGTGTCTTCGCCCATGTCACACCCCCCCATGGCACAGCACGTGCCCTCACTAAGCCATTCGACATTCCCTGCTCTGTCACCCGACTGCTCTCCACCGCGGAAGACGGTGACCCCGTCTCTCTCCGCACCCTCCATGTCACCCCCACCCCGCGTTCCTTTCTGTTTCTTGCATGTTCTCACAGACTCCTCCCTCTCCCTGTGCCCATTCAGGTCCTGGGCAACCTCTCAGTTGTTAATCCCACATGGTGGACTCAAATGCATCCATTTCTTGCAGGAAGGGGGCCTAGAGCTTTGGGGAGCATTACTAAGGCATTCAGGACCCCACAGATTTGGGGAGAAGAGCTGGAGTGGGTGTGTGGGCAGGACAGCCCGGTGGTTCCAGGCGCAGGTCTGGAGAAGGACCACCTATTGTCTAAAGCTGCCTCGTGAGGCTTTGTGACCCCAAGATGATACCCCAGTTATAAGAGCTAGTGCCCAAAGAGCGTTTACCTCTTGCCAGGCACTGGTCACAGCTCTTTGCACTTATTCACTCATATAATCTCTGCAGCTTGATGAAGCTGTGGTTACCCCATGTTGCTATCACAGCCCCAGAGCCCCTGCGAACTCAGCTTAATGCTGTATGTTGTCCCCGGGGACCCAGAGCCCCAGTTCTGAAGCCTCTTTCTGTGGAATTCACTGAGTCCCCCTGGCTTCGAGGGCTCCATTACTCCCCATCCCCAGGGCATCTCCCAGCATCCCTGGCCGAGGGGAGTGATCTCAGCCGTGGCCCCAGCCCCGGGGGCAACATTTCCAGCCCGGCTCTCCCGCAGTGCAGCAGTGCAGGCCGCTGGGAGCTGGTGTGTGGGCATCTGCCCTCACCTTCCCCACCCAGGCTGTTGTTGGAAGGGGCTCCTGAGCTGCTCCCGGGGACTGACGTTGGTGTGAAGGCTTGGAGAGGAAGACAGCCTGCAGATGGAGGCTCTGCCCACCCGTCTGGGCTCCTTCCCCGCCCTGCCGGTCCCAACACCTATGTGAGGGCCGTTTCCACCATCTGCCCCCTGCTATCCCCTCTGTTCTTCTGTGATGGCAGCCAGGGCCCTCAAGCCTGTGCAGAATGACTCCCCCATGTCTCTGAAATTTCCTACCCAACTCCCCATTTTACAGCCTCCCCGGGAAGCCACCATCCCCTTTTCCAAGAGGTCTCCAGGACCCATACATCCTCGATCCCTAGACACCCCACATCCACCCAGTCACCCACCATCCACTCTGATACCCTCAATCCACCTTTGATCCACCTAGATACCCCCATCCACCCAGGCACCCCTCTCCAACCCTATCCACCCAGATGCCCCCAATCCAGATGTTTCTGTTGCACTCAGACACCCCAGATCTACCCAGTCACCCCAATCCCACTTGTGGGCTCATCCCAGCTAGCTCACCCAGCCCCCTGAAGGGAGAATGATGGGGCGACAATCACATTAACGGAAGGTGCTTTCTCTAATCTCCTGCCCCCCTGCCCCGCCCCCCGGAAAAGATCCTTAAAGGGAGCAGGTTCTAGCGTCTTTAACAGAGATCAGTGGAGAGAGGGGCAAGGGTAGTTTGGGGGCAGAGCCAAGAGGATGTTGGGGGTGAGGGACCCCTGCGGCTCACCTGTGTGGCTCCCCAGGCCGCTTGGAAAGTTCCGGGAGAGAAGGGAGAGAATGAGGCCGCCAAGCCTGTGTCCTGCCTTTATTTGCAGCTGCCACGCCCTAGGCAAACCTGGGCAGGTAGAGAACAAGTCGGACTCCCTAAAGCTCGGGGGCTCTCTCACCCCATTCCTGCTCTTAAAGAGACAGTTACCACCCCTTCTTCCCAGCCACTAATGGCAGGGAGCTCCCTGAGGTCCCCAAGGCCACAGCAGCCTCAGGTAGCCAGAGGGAGCATGGAATTCGGCTCCTCACATCAGGGGAGGGGGCCTTCTTCAATCTCTTGCCCCCGTGAAAAGGACTCAGACAGAAGAAGGCTGGGGTCTTTAACAGCCAAGCTTCTGCCTGGCAAAATGGTGGGGAAAAGCAATGCATTGGTGTAATAGTCTAGTTTCTTTTACTTGGATTGTATGTTCCTCTTGGAGGTCTTGGTGGCAATTGTGGGACATCTAAGGTCCCCTTCCGGACCACTTGTTGCTTCTTGACAGTTTGAGGGTCAGCAGAAGAGGCTGATATGACCAAGGTCATGAGGTGGGAGTGGGGGTGCACAGGGGTAAGAGTGGAGGGGTGAGGGCTGTTGGGCTTTAGACCATGACCTCTCTCCCACGTGCCCATCATGCCCTGGAGAGATTGGGAACTGGTTTCTGAGCATCAAGCGGAACCTTCTTAGCTCAGGCTCTTCCCAAGGGTGCTGGGAGCCAGATGCCCGGGTCTATGCAGTGGGCGTTGGGGTGGAGGCTGCCTCCCACTCCGGATAAGATCATTGCACTGTGCGAGGCTCCCTTCCCCTCCCTCCCCCCCCCCGACCCTCCTCCTCATGGCATTCCTTCTGGCTGGGGTCTGTGTAGGCCCCCACATGGTCCTCGTTGGGGTGCCCCCTCCCCCCAATTCTGCTTTTTTAGACAGAGGGACTTTTGTCTGGGGGCTGGATGGAGAACAAGGCGCCTTTGAGTGGCTGGCGAAGGATTGGGGTCATGGGGAGGGGCAGGGCCAGGAAAGGGGTGGCTCTGCTCTGGCCACCAGCTGGACTCCAGGCGACCCCCAACACCATCTCGGGGGTGGGGCGGAGGGCTGCAGGCCAGGGAGAGTGTGGAGTGCAGGATGGGTAAAGGGGGTTTCCGAGGTCAAGACTGCTGGGGGTTGTCTGCTGGGGACAGGGAGAAAGGACTCCCCACTTCCTAGCAGGAAAGGATGGGGAAGCAAGGAAGGCACGCCCAAATACATGCTTTCTTTATGTAGCTCCCTCAGGCAGTTTTTCAATCCCGGGCCCTAGACTAGGACAAAGCCTCCCCACCCCACGCTGCTCCCATTAGGAAGGGGCCAGTCCCTACAAGCAGCGGAGCGGGCACTCAGGGTGGGGCTCAAAGTGGGAGGTTTAGGGGGAGACAAACAGAGTTAAGGGAGGCCTGGAAGGGAGGATCCCAGTCCAGCTAAGGGGGGGTCTTTGTCTCTGGAAAGATAGCATGCCTCCCTTGCCCAGACATTTCAAGATTACAATGCCCCTGGGAAGACCCCTTTGGTGTTCTTGGCGGTTGAGTGTTTTCTCCCTCTGCTGGGAAGTTCGGGAACTGCAGGCTTCAGAGAGCGAGAAGGGGCGACCGCTCCGTGGCTAGGCTGTCCTTTGCCTGTGCCAGAGGTTGCAAACTCAGATGCCAAAGGGGCCAGGCAAGAATTGTGAACGCGTGAAGCAGGACAAGCATGAGACCCTAAGGCGTGCTGGCAACTGGGCAAACGGGAGAACTATTGTTCTGTTTAAAAGGCAAGCACCAGGGGCGCCTGGGTGGCTCCGTTGGTTAAGCGACTGCCTTCAGCTCAGGTCATGAGCCTGGAGTCCCGGGATCGAGTCCCGCGTCGGGCTCCCTGCTCAGCGGGGAGTCTGCTTCTCCCTCTGACCCTCCCCCCTCTCGTGCTCTCTCTCTCTCATTCTCTCTCTCAAATAAATAAATAAAATCTTAAAAAAAAAAAAAAGGCAACTACCAAAACGACTGAAGTGAGCTCATGTGGACAGAGACATATAAGTATCTCCCAGACATCTTGCTACGGGGACAAAGCAAGATGTATAAAAGTACACCTGTGAGGCGGGAAAGAATGTATATGCATACACTTGTTCATGAATGAAGTATCTCTGGACACTCTGCTTGTGGGGAGGAGGAATGAGAGGCTGGGGGATGGGGGGGGAGGGAGACTCCCTCTTGTACCTTTTGAATTTTATATTCTGAAAATGTCCAACTTTGAAAAAAAACGTAATTAAAGGATAGTCCCTACACAATCCCAGCCAATTGCTGCCACATTTTCAGCCGATGCCAGAAACCTGAATCTTTGTATAGAATTCCCAATATTAAAAGTTGGTTCGGGGGCTCCTGGCTGGCTCAGTCGGTGGGGCATGCGACTCTTGATCTCGGGGTCGTGGGTTTGAGCCCCACATTGGGTGCAGAGATTACTTTAAAAAAAGTTGGCTAGATTTTTTTTTTTTAAATATGCAGTTTTAAAAAATTACGCAAGTCCAACAAACTACATCTAAGGGCTGGTTTCAGTCTGGGGGACCAACTTCTGCCAACTTCATTTCCTGAATCTTTAATTACGGTAGCCTTGCATTTAGATATACAGACATTAATGGGGCTTTGACTAACCCAGGCCAACCATAACCTCCCCCTGAGGCTGGACCAGACTGTGTCATCCATGTGTGTGTTGGCCTGGGGATGGGGCTTCTGGCCCGGAGAGGCAGGATTTGAGACCCCCACGTGGATGTGCCAAGTTGTGCATACTGACACTTGGGGAAGGTTTTTAGGAGTCGTGGGGGCAGCTGTTTGCATTCTATTCTTTTGGGGTGTCTTCTAGGCCTATTTGACTTCAATCATATCTAAAGTCTCTCTCCTTCTCTCTTTCTCCCTGTATATAAATGTATGTATATATAATCTTTTGTATGTGAATATATGTTATACATGTTATTATATTATATAGATAATAAAGTCATTTGAAATATTTCCCCTTCATTTTGCTTTTGACATCATTTGGCCCTAAAGAATCGGCTGACGCTGTGATCAGCTGTGATTTCTCAGGATCCTAGGAATTCTCGCAAGATGAGAAAAACCAAAACCACAGATAGCTTCTGAACATCACAATGTTTTCAGGAATGCCAAATTGAAGTACGAAATCAAAGCCATGGGGTGTTAGGTCGTCACTGACTCAGATTTATTAATTTTGGTTTTGCCATTTGCTTCTGATGTTCAGGAGGGCCAAAACCCAACTATTGTACATGTGTCCTTTGGTTCACAAAGTGTTGCAAAAATTAATAGTCGCCAGCGTTTAAGCATTGGGATGTTTCCAACATACTAAGCAGCATTTCTAGTTTATGAGGAAGACACAGCCTAACTGGGCCCATGTTCCCACTTGGCAGCAGTGGCTGGAGGGGCAGGGCCATCTCCCCCTGGTTTGAGGCTTCACGGGAGGGAATATGGGACAGGGACACCTCCCGTGTCACACTTGCTTCCTCCTTTGGGCCCTCCATCACAGCGCAGACCTTGGACGGATGCAGCCCAGGATGGATCGGGCAGGGTTTACGCAGGAAAGACCCCAGGACCGTCATACTGAGTCTGCCCACGGTGAGGGGAAAGGCACAATTAAGGAAAGACTTGGTCATGTTTTGTGACTCCCTCCCAAAACGGCTTTGATGGGCAACTACCAGTGGAGAAGACCGAGTCTTTCACGGTGCCTGCCTGCTCAAAGATGGGCAGGAGATGCCTGCGAGGCAAGACACGCAGAAAAAAACAATACCTAGGGTACAGATAGATGGAGCGAAAGCAGATGAGACAAAATAGTAAGAATCGGAGGATCTCCGTGAAGGGTATTTGGGTTCGTTGTATTCTTTACGTAACTTTCCGGTCATGACAAAAATTCAAACTAAAAGTTGCGGAAAAGGAATCAAACATTTCAAATTAAACTTAACACAAAATAATTCCCTGCAAGATAAAAAAAAAACAATGGCAAAAGAATGGAGGAAAAGGTAAATTCAGAATTGGATAAATTGTTAAGTAAACAGAATTTAATTGGACTTAAAAAAATTATGTATTTATGTATATGGCATGTGGTACATATGAAATATTGTATATATTTCCTTCTTCATGGATAAAAGCTTGTGTTGTTTTATCGCCCTCCCACGGTGTCTTCCTCTTCCTTCGCTTGGATGGGTTGCGTCGCCCCTGACCCCTGGGTGCCCAGCTCCGGCCCTCCCCCGCTGGGGGTGCCTCACCCTCTCCTGGCTGCCCAGCCCCGTCCACCGGGGGGGCCCTGGGGCTCTGGGGCTGGAACGGGGGCTGGCAGGCTCCCGCCTGGCTATAAAGGCAGGGAGATGAGTCTGCAGTTCTAAGAGCTTGGCTGGCGCCGGTGGCTGTGGGGAGGCACTGACCCAGCAGCTTGCTGGCAGAGGGGCCCCTGACGTCCCAGCATTCCCATTCTCTTCCCCCCTGCACCTCAGTGTCTAAGAAGGCGGTGCCACGCCCGGCAGAACCAACTCCACACCCCTGCGCATCCCTGAGTCATTTACCAACTATCGCTGACTGTCTCACTCTGTTTTCAACGAATGATCCTCTACTGGGCTGCAACTGGGCAGGCATGACTCACCCGGTGGGGGCAAGCATGGCACAGAGGGGCTGTCACTTAGTGTCAGGAGCACAGTTAATGAAGGGTCAAGGTTGGGATGCCAAGCCAGGTCGTCTGGCTCCATACCCGTTTATGTGTGTGTGGGGGGGGTAGTGACAAAAGGACAACAGGACCCCACATAAATTTGAGGGTCCCGTGAACAGACAGCAGGTTAGAAAAGAGAATTAGACCACAACAAATATTTCCAGAACCAACCACTTCTCCCCCACTGCCTGCCTCCTGGCTTGTTCTGCATCTTCCCCGTCCTGGACCCCACAGCATCTGCTTCCCAGGCTCCCTGCTCCCTTGTCTGCCCTGGGTCTGTTCCCTGCCCACCTGCAGCTGGAGGGAGACCGTGAACCCCTGAGTCAGGGCAGGGCCCTGTTGGCTCAGAGCCCTCCCCTGGCTGCACCTCTCTC